TTATATAAATGCATGTTGTCTGCTTGGAGTCCCCGCCCCAAAAGAAAGAAATGGCCTAACTCCAAGATAATACATTCCTGCATCACGTGATTTTTGCAAAGTAGAGCTTAAATTAGAATGAATACCGCATATGGAAAGTGAAACTACAATTCAAAACATAAAGTCCGAAGGCACTTAGAAGAAAAAGAAGGCGTTTTTTGGCAAAGGGTGCCGGGGTAATCTTCTCTGTGTTCATAATATACATGAAATATTTGCCACTACCCCTTGTCTGTTCTATAAATTCTAACCCTGAGTTTTCTATCTGTTACTGTGACGAGACAGCATCTCAGCGATAAAAGAATGTGTTTGAAAGAACTATGCACTTGGCTACCTTTTTTCTTTTTTTTCTTCAATTCGTTTTTAAAACGTCTTGGTTTCTTCAATTTGAATGATAAAAAATAAAACTATATATCAAACTAAAACTGGATAAAGTGAGGAACAAGTTTCTTTCATTAGTGAAAATTACTGCTTCACTGCTTATCTCACAGTTCGAACCCTACACGTGGTAGCTTGGTTCGACTCCAATCTTAATTGACTAATATTGACAGTTTCCTTGCCGAAGGTCAGTGGTTCTCTGCGGGCATCCCAGCTTTGTACACACAAAAAAAACTGGGCGCCATGAAATAGCAAATAATGATAAAAGTGGCGTTAAAGACCAACAATGAATACATCAATCATTGTATATCTTAGACGTTTCACACACATATCATAGTTTTGTTAAACACGAATCTATTTATTTGAAATTAAATTTGACAACAGCAATTTTCCCGCATCGTATAATGGTGAATCCGGATAACACTGTAATATGTGCCGCTGGACATGAAAAAGCTTAACCTCTAATAATTTTGAATTACTAGAAGAATAGATGAATTTTAAAGCAGAACTATTTTAAATTTTGGTCAGCTATTTAAGGCGAAAGCAATAAGTAATGAAAAGATATTTAAGATTTCCAAGGATAAGCCAACATTGAAGGGGCCTGTCTTTAAAGGTTGGTGTGTCCATCAAATTACATATGTGGCAACCTTTTTTTTAAGGCTTAAAACAAATTAAACTTTTTAAAGTTATTTAAGTTCCATTCCTAACTTAATGTCGACACCTTATAATGTAGAATATCTATTTTAAACAAAAAAAGGTAATTTCTATGTCAAAAGATTGCAAAATTTCTGATAATGAATAGAGCAGTCCGTATTCGAATGCAGCATTCGCTAACTTAGTAGACATGTCTTTGACAAGCAATACTTTGAACCACTGACAGTGTCTTTAACGATCACATGCGCAAAAATGAAAAAAATCAAAAACAGAGTATTGTCCCTGCTAACCTGAAGAGTGTAGGTTTCAGCTCGAGAGTTCCCAATGAAGACATTTTTTTTCAGTTAAAACATTTGAGGTACACAGTCTACAAAATGAAACAAAAGTTAAAAATCTGATGCTCGTCTTGGCGTATACTCAAGAATTTACTTATTCTACGAGCGACCAAACAGGTCATTTTTGAAAATCAGATCATTTCGTCTTTTTCTATTTATTTTTTTGAGTCTCTTTTTTTGCTTTTCTTTTCTTTATTATTCATGACATGAAATCTTAACTTCATGTTCTAAAACATATACGTATGCATTGTGTTTCAATGAAAAAATAATTTCCCCCTTTCCCCCTTTCTTTTTTTGGTGTTCTCCAATTTCAACCCTCAAATAAGGCTTTCCAATCTAATTAATTAGAATTAAAACCTTGCTTTCTAACCAATCTATTCATGTACCGGACCGGGAACTTTCTTTATTCAGTAAGAAAATCTACAGTGCCGTTATATAAATGCATGTTGTCTGCTTGGAGTCCCCGCCCGAAAAGAAAGAAATGGCCTAACTCCAAGATAATACATTCCTGCATCACGTGATTTTTGCAAAGTAGAGCTTAAATTAGAATGAATACCGCATATGGAAAGTGAAACTACAATTCAAAACATAAATTCCGAAGGCACATAGAAGAAAAAGAAGGCTTTTTTTTTGGCAAAGGGTGCCGGGGTAATCTCTGTTATCGTAATATACATGAAATATTTGCCACTGCCCCTTGTCTGTTCTATTAATTCTAACCCTGAGGTTTTTATCTGTTGTATGCCAAGAAATCCTCGCTAAAAATTCCGGTGGACCTCCTACGGCACCTATTAGTAGTTAAAGACTTGATTTCATTCAACAAATTAATTTATGACCTGCATGTACGTGTCGCTTAGAACACGGCCATGTACCAAATGGTCAATATTAATCATCCATGTAATTAATTTTGCTCTATGGGATGTTTGCAAAATTTCAACGGAGGCAATTTCTTGGCATGTGTGCGAATAATGCAAAAGAATAAAAAATAAAACAACACATACCTCAAAACTCTATTTTAATGCAATACTATCCGAATATGGAGGGGTCACGCAATGGAAAACCTTCAGCTTTGGCGTTTTCATTCGTATGACGTCATGTTTTAAAATGATTTTAATTTCGCGGAATTTTATTTTATTTTAATTTTGTACATTTTTGCGAGCTCTAATGCATTAATGCTTTGTGTTATGCATCAGAATAATAATAAAAGTTCAGCACTTTTTTTTTCAATTGCATTTTTTTACGCAGCGAAATCGGCATAGCGTTTCCACATGGGTTACGATACATTTGGATTTATGTGGGAGGTATATTGTAACAGCCATTATTATGTACATCTTTGAGTCTGCGCTAAGTATAGATATATCGAGAATTTTATCACGATACATGATTGCAAAATTCCATAAGATTAAAATATTTTGGTATTCAGTACCATCAGATCATACATGTTATATCAAAAATCGTATTTTAAACTTTCATTGCTACAGAAAATCAATAATTTACCATAATTAGCTAACCAAAATTGAACGGAGCTTAATGTCTATGTCGAGATTGGTTGTGATTATATATTTTTCTATGGTTGTCTTATCAAAAGTGTCAAAATAGTTAACTTTTTTCACAAATGTTTTTGCGGTAATGGGACCTTTTATAGCCGACTTTACTCATAGTTGAAGGCTGTATGGTTGCCTAGAATCGCTTACATCCACTTCATTTGAACTTTGGTGGATTATTGTCCTATTGGCAATTATACCGCATCTCCTTATTTTTATATTAATATTTATACAAACAGTAAATGGAAACTCGTGATTTAATACGACATTTCTCTTTCGAATTGATAAATTTCTCTTTCAATCGTAACCATTGGAATGTAGAAAATTATCATTCATAAATTAAATGCTTCTAAAAAACTATGCACTTGAGTGTTTTTCGTTTTTTTTTTTTTTTTTTTTTTTGGGGGGGGGGGGGGGTTACTGTGAAATCATTTAATAGATGAAATCATGAAAAATCTTGGAAAAATTGATTGAATAATGGCATTATAATGTTTTAGTGTGAAGTACTACAATTAGCTGCAAGTCTTTAGGGTTTCAATACAAATGGCATTATAAAAGAAGATGTGATTTGAATAACCATCTTAGAACAATCTTAAACTAATAGGAAACCCAGATTAGTACAATACTAGATAGTATTTTTGTTAGTTCATATTGGGATACATTGGATATTGCGTCAGATGACTCCATGTCATAGGGACTGTTTTTTTGTTGGGAAAGGCAAAGAATCTTACGTATTATAATGTCAATATGTCAAATCGCCACCAAGGGTATTCGCCCCTGAATAAAATTGATTTTCCGGCCGCTTAGTAAACTTAAAAATACGATTTTTACTTCAGCACAAAAAATGCAAAAGAGACTAGAATGTTTCATAGAAAATCTTGATTTCGTCTAAAACAATATGTTTCCCATATTATTATTTGAAGATTCTAGAAATTCCAAACGGTCAAATTCAATAAAAGTTATGAAATAATAATCGTTTCATCCAATTTTAGCAGGTATTAAACAATAACTTGTTTTCTGAGTGCAAGAATTTTTGACATGATCAATAATTTAAAACCGTCGATTCACATTCCGACTTTAAATATAACCATGGCTTTTCAGATTTACGTTAACATCTATTTTAACAGACATGGTTATTCCTATTGAAATCATGTGCAAAAACACACAATAATATATAGATATAAGAAGATGTGGTATGAGTGCCAATGAGACAACTCTCCATCCAAGTCACAATTTGTAAAAGTAAACCATTATAGGTCAAAGTACGGCCTTCAACACAGAGCCTTGACTCACATCGAACAGCAAGCTATAAAGGGCCCCAAAAATGACTAGTGTAAAACCATTCAAACAGGAAAACCAACGGTCTAATCTATATAAAAACGAGAAACGAGAAACACTTATGAACCACATCAACAAATGCAGCAGGTTTAAACGATTTAATATGCCTACTTGTGTTCTCGACAGTTTAAAGGTATCCAAAAAAACAGGTGATATTCAATATTCCCTTAACATTTAATGAAACGTTGGATCCAACAAGACTTTAACAGATGGTGCATTGACCCCTTTACTTTTCAAAGATGTAAATAAAAGGGAAAGACGAGAGGAAACTTATTGGGTCGCTAAGTCCCCCTTAAACACTAGTATATGCTAAATAAGGTGTTTGACCTATATTTCACACTTCCCTGATCAGGTAAAATATTTGGTTTAAGGTAGATACAATTTTTATTTAATGTTTAATGTAGTTATATCAGAAAAAAAATGTGGTTAAATCATGGTTAAATCAATTTGTTCTGTATAATGTGAAATGAAAATAAAATGTGTGACAAATTAAGGATCTACTGTCACTTATCCAATGCAAATAGTCATGCTTTGAAAAGAATACATTTGAGTTGATTTCTAATTGTATTCCAATTTGTTTTGCGAATAAAGTATTGTACATGTATGAACAATCAGATGATACTATGTTCTCTTTCCTTAGTTTCAGATAATGTTAAACACTTATCGGTGAAATAAACAACATCTTTAAGAACAATGCTTTCCCTTTTCCCTGGATGTTCCTTAACATTAACTTGTTATATCTCATCTGTTGTAGATATGTACCGGTATAATATGTTGATTTTTGGTTGCGTATTGTACATTTTGCCTCTTTGCCAGGCGGTAAGTACATTTGTTGAGCATGTCACTCCTATTGAAACTGTCAGGATGATAAACGTGTCGTTACTACTGCTGGTGTACGTTTAGTATATGAAGCTATCATCAGCCAAGTAGTAAGTGCTTCGGTATTTACATAACTTCTCCGTAAAATAAATCATAAAAAAGAGCAAAAAAAAATGCATTTGGCTATTCGTTTTATGTCCCTTTTAGTCATAAAGCTCCTAGATATTCTATGTGGAAGAGTTTCCTGATGCATGTGAGCCAAACAAATAGTTTCGGACGTACGAAATTTATGTACTTTAAGTAACGTTTTAAAATAATTCTGTAACATGTAAGTACAAGTATTAAAATACGGCAGAACAGGGAGGGATATCAGAAATGGATTATTATTATCGTTATTAATAGTAGAAGTAGTAGTTTTGGTAAGGCTTGGAAGTTCTTTTAAATGTATCCAATCCCTATCACACGTTATTTAACATTTTCTGAATTCTTACAAAATATGTGTTATATTTTTCTGTCGTTCTTATAGCGTAAAATTTAGAGCTCGTTAAATAGAAATGTGTTCATTTGCTTTTCGTTCACAAATGTAATAGAAATTTCTTCAGATTGTGAGCTATTCAGGTGTGTTAACACACCACTAAGCGCCTCAAAATAACGTGTATTGGTATAAACATATCTTTCGGGTTCTTTTAAAGGATAAATGCAAATATGCGTATAAAATGCAGCTTTGTTTTTGTTTAAAAATAAAATTTGTTAACTGCATTGTACCTTTGTATCTTATTAAGTGGTTTTGGGGGAAAAGTGGAGCTAGCGGAGTAACAGCAAAAAAAAGATAGCAGACAAGGCATACAGTTATAAGGACAGTACTGAATGGGCTTTTGGAGGTTGTAAAGGAGGCTCCAGATTTTGCAATGCAAATAAATGCAACCTGTTTGTTAACGATGTACTAAACAGTGTTGGTGCAACTGTTCCTAAGAGGTAAACGTAATTTACATTTTTCTTTTAAGAACACCAGTATATACGGGTCAATGGTCTTCGAACGTATCGTAGGACTTTTACTATGATAATTTTTCGACAAATCTCAGTCCAAACTTAGGTATCTGAAAATGCCTTTAAATCCGGAAGAGCCCTAAACTCTCAGATGTGACCTACTTGATTAGACTTATCACCGGGTTTAAACTGACATAAGCAACAAGACGGGTGCCACTTGAGCGGGATCTGCTAACCCTTCCTGACCATTTGAGACCACCCCCGGGTTGTTTTTTTTTGTTGGAGGGGGGGGGGGGGGGGGGGGTAAGTGTTGCTCTTTCGATAGTTTTCTATACTTAGTATACTATTTGTCTTTTTGCCATGGCGTTATCAGTTTGTGTTATACTTATGAGTGTGAATTTTTATTCTGCTATATATCAAATCAAAGTCTACCTTCTTTCTTTTCTGTTTTCTGTGGCTATATACATATATAAACATTTCATTGTTTCAGAACAAAACAGTCCTTTAACTAATGAACTATGTATTATCCATTTAAACAAAGTATAATAATTCTTAATTGTACGATATCTCAGATTGCAATTTGATCTTGTTAATCTGAATGACAAAAATATATTATATTATGAATTTCTACTTTTAGAGTTACAATAAATAGATGTTTAATAATTTTTGATTAAACAGATCTTTAAAGGTTCAAAATGTTTAGAAGAGTAACGTTATGTTTATATCGTTATTTATGTACTTGTTCACTCTCTATATGATGTTTGTCGAAACAAATTAATGTCTTTATCATTTAAACAGAAATATTCACAGCAATGACATACGATATAAATAAGAAGATGTGGTATGAGTGCCAATGAGACAACTAGCCATCCAAGTCACAATGTGTACAAAGTAAACAATTATTATAGATCAAAGTACACTCGTCAGCCTTCAACACGGAGCCTTGGCTCACACCGAACAGCAAGCTATAAAGGGCCCACAAAATGACTAGTGTAAAACAATTCAACCAGGAAAACCAACGGTCTAATCTATATAAAAAAACGAGAAACACTTATGAACCACACCAACAAACGACAACCTCTGAACAACAGGCTCCTGACTTAGAACAGGTGCATAAACATGCAGTGGGTTTAAACGTTTTAACAGGCGCCAACCTTCTTCCTAATCTGAAACAGTGGTGTAACATTACAACATAAAAAGACACACAATAAAATATCAATTGAAATGGCTTAACTCGATCAAAAAGACATATTCAAAAACAGGTAAATATACTCTGAACGAATAAGTTTGATCTATGACACAATATAAATAAAAAAGAAGTATCAATGTCTAAAAGGCAACTTTAACCTAGGAGTATATTTTTATGTATGATTTCAAAACACAATTTGCGGACTGTATTAGAGAAATTGAAATTAAAAGTCACACGAAACTACATCTTGGCGCCGCTCGTTATGTAGATGTAGCTCGCACGTTAATCACAAATGTAAACAAGGAGTTATAGAACATGTTTATATCGCAAATTTTTCGCGTGAAATTGAAAACGATAAAAAAAAACACTTTCTCTGCAAATGCTGAGCTTGAAACTGTGATGATTGAAAAGAAAAAAGGGTAAAACTTTATCGTTAAACCATCAAAGGAATCCTAATTTGGTATCCTTAAATTGGGCAAATTTTGAGACATGTCCTTAATGAAAGGCATTTTTGATAAACACACATGTATACGAAAAAGCACGTTATAAGATTTTGAAGACATAATCTAGTCCTTAAACAATGTGCAATAAATAGGTCACAGGCCCTTCTTTTCGTTTTATATATAGTGACACGCTAAATTCAGCATTATTAAGGATGTATTCTTCTGATGTTTCAGTCTCGTTGAAATCTCTTTCGGATTTTTTTCGAAAACATGTGATACAAGTGGAAAATATCAATGAATTTAAAAAATATGATAATCAAACTAAACTCTGTGAAAAAATTGTGTACTTACCATAAGTAGTTTTTGAGTACATTTTTGTAATAAAAAAAAATTCCAATTTTATAACCAATCCGGTCAGGCTCATCAGTCAAAATGTTGAGAAAATGGGTAAGGGTATAAATAAATGATTTTACCAAAAATATGTACATCCCATATCATTGTTTTTTTTTTCTTTTCAAAATTCTTAAATATGTACTTTTCCAAGCATTTCTAACAAAGTTGAAATAATATTTTTTTTGTTCTAAAAAAAAAAAAAAGGCCGGAAAATCCCAAATTTACAAAATTGACAGCATGGTCAATTTGACACGAAAAAGCAAAAAAATCGTATAAAACTTTCTAATATTAACACCAACCTATAGTTTTTTTTTAAGTTAAATTTATTCAGATTAGTCCACTTCATCTTAAGTGAATGTATGAAAAAAGTGTAATTGTGAAACTGGGATCATATATATCATTATAATAGCCCAAAAATGGGTAAACATTGATGATAAGTGGGAGAATCATTAAAATTGGGTACTTTCAATTGGCCGTAGCAAAAAATGAAGTGCACCACCATATGATTTTTTCTTCATCAATTACTTTCTTACAGTCATATAAACCCAAAAAATAAGGTTAAGAAAAAAAGTTTAATTCTAGAAATATTTGGCTCCTCAGAGGTGTACATCCTTAAACGCTTTATTGGTTAGATATTTTTATATATTTTATACTAATTTATACTTATTTACTAAATATATGAATTTGGAAATGTGAAAAAGACTTTTGATTATTTTTTTTGATTTATATTATATGTATACACTCATGTTGGAATTAATGTAAATTAATGTTTAATATGCTAAATTTTACGGCGATTACAATTTTGAACCGGCCATTTCTGTAATCTTGCGTTTGTTATCAAATGATTAAGAAGGAGTGTATTGATGTATGTTTTTATCTTTTTCATTAGTATATATCCTTGGAAACCTGTATTTATTAATGATTTCGTCTGGTGGTGTTAAGTTCTAATAAATTAACAGGCGAAGGGTTAAGTAATTTTGCTCTAATTAACAAAAATGTTACACATATATATACAATAAACAATTATGGCCTTCGTGGAAATTTAATATCCAAAATTATTAGATCCATGAAAGGTTATTTTCCTGGAGGTCCGTATGACCGAGGGAAAATAACCTTTTCGAGATTTGATAATTCTGGATATTAATGTTTGCTGAAGGACTTAAAAGAGAGCCAAACGATACTAAAGGGATATTCAAACTCATAAGTCGAAAACAAACTGACATTCGCTAAAGGGTAAAGGGGTTATTTTATTTGAAGGAATAAAAGAATACAGTAATATCTTAATAATTTTACAAGTAGTTACTATAGAAAAGTATACTAATCAATGTCATTGTACATATAGCTTTAATGTAGACGTCTAGCTGCATATATATACGGAAAATAGTGTGTTATAGTTTTAAATAATGAAAACTACACATGATATCAATTATTTATTACAGACGTTCCTGGTGGTATTCTCCAATTAGTGCAAACGACTGGGGAAATCCGAATTCAATCAGAGTCAAGAACACAGGTTGTTACAGTTTTATCAGCAGTTTCTGGTCTAAACAACCAGGTGATATAATTGCTTTTCCAGCATCAAGCGGTAGCGGTCACGTTGGAATTGTGTATGATAACAGTGAATATATCAGCGCCGGTAATAATAAAGTGAACAAGAAAGGATATCCAAGCGGAAAAGAAACAACCATCTGGAGATACAAGTATAACAGCAGCAAATGTTAAATTCTAATGAAATAAGACCATCAATTTCATTTATTTTTTTCCTTCTTTCGATTTTCGTTTGTTATTAATTTTAGACAAACCGAGATTATTGATCATCTCTTGTGACATATTTAAACATATTTAAACAATTGTAACACAGAAAATGGTAAGCCATCTTCATGATATAGTAAAACAATTATTTTATTTTGATGTATTCTTCATTAATTAAAAATATTCTTGTTTAATAAATGCAGATCCTATTGCAAATGTATATGTTTATTAAACATCTGTATTCAGCTAAACAGTTGTTTTTTAATTTAGAATTAAAATTGTTGGATTTGGTTGCAAAGACGATTTGAATACTACCAATGTATATTTAATTACGCTGTAAGTTTCAAACCCAAGCATTTCTGAGTTTGCATTTGTAAGACAGCGAAAGCATCTCATGTTTTGTAACACTCGTATCACTTATATGCATGTTTCTTTTAATTGCATCTCTACCAAAATGCATAAATTATATCAAGATGAAAATAAGAAGATGTGGGACGATTGCTCATGAGATAACTCTTCCCCGGAGACCAATGATGTGAATGTTAGCAACTTCAGGCCACCGTGAGTTTCCAATAATGAGCAAAACCCATATTGTATACTATTTTAAAGACCCCGACATGATGAAATGAAAACAATGAAAACAAACAAAAAAAACAATTGCCTGATTTATGCTTAACCAATAAACGAAAAACAGTTATCATTACAGACAGCAACCACAAAAACAACCTCAGAATAACAGGATTCTGACTTGGGACAGTCAAGTATGTAAGTTTTATTGAAAGTCGGCATGCATGTATATGATACAAATAATGACATGATGAGTTTTAACCGATTATTTTAAAAGAGAATAGAGAATGTGGCGAGGTTTGCCATTTCTGAGACTGCTAAATCCCCTTCAAAGCCTGGAATAGTAGGGACTCGTATATCATGTATATACGAACAAACTGTAAAAAAAATCAGTTGGATAGGCCTTAATGAATTAAATAGGCACGATGCACAAGAAGCACAATGTAAAACAAACTTTATAAATATTATGATAATCGTGAGTCCTAATCACTTGTCTATATTTCCTTCACCAGAAACGCTCAAATAAAAAAATCGAAAATCAAGGCGACAGTAGTTAACCGATGTTTAGATCTCATAAATCCATTTAGAAGAGACAAATCAGTGTACGAAACAAAAACCTGAGGAAATTGCACTCGACAAAGAGCAAGACAGACTGCATCTACAAAGTAAGCGTCTCCTGCTACGCATGCATCACCGACCATCCGAATGCACACCAAGTCAAAATATCACAATCGGAACAATTACAGATAAGACTATTATTACACTGGTACATTGTATCTAAAGATCTAAAACCCGCAAAAACTTGTCGCAAGTAAGTTGAGACACTGTTACATCGTATCGGTCATCCAATGTGATGTGTGATGATGACCGTTAAACGTGTAGAGTGTCGATTTTAGTATGAGCAATTTTTGATGAAGGAGCACGCTTCTGTTGAAGAAGTTAATACTCTGTGAAAATGCATGAGGGTTACATATTTAAAACGGAGATATGAAAACACCATACAATGAAACAAAATGTATGTTACTACTGAGAATTTGAAAGTTAATTGTGCATAGTTGAAATCATCACGTTTGTCATAGATTAACGTTTAAATCGTGTATCTTTGTCAATATCGAGGAAAAGATTAAGATATTGAGCAGACTTTCTAACTTCAGGATATCATTAATCACACGTTCACTGGGATTTATAAGATGTAAAAGTAAAAATAAGAAGATGTTGTATGATTGCCAGTGAGACAACTCTCCACAAGAGACCAAATGACACAGAAATAATTAACCATAGGTTATCGTACGGCCTTCAACAATGAGCAAAACCCATACCTCATAGTCAGCTATTAAAGGCCCCGAAATGAAAAATGTAAAACAATTCAAACGAGAAAAATAACGGCCTGATTTATGTACAAAATATGATATATATAACAACAAACGACAACCACTGAATTACAGGCTCCTGACTTGGGACAGGCAAATACAGAATATAGCGGGGATAAAATAGTTTGAAGGCGCAGACCCTCCCCTAACCTGGGACAGTTTATACGAAGCTCTCATTGAAATATGGGTTATCAAGTGACAGGACATTATCAAGTTTTTTTTTCAGAAATTTAAATTTAAAGAGCCGAAGATGATACTATTTTTTTTTAATTTTTTTTTTGGGGGGGGGGGGGGGGGGGGTTCTGTTTGAAAGCCAGGGATGTACATATTGCTAAACGAATAAAAGGAACATAACAAGAACACCCAAATTCAACTTGGTCATCTTTTCCGGAGGAGGTTGGAACCTTACTTTTTAGTAATTTTTGAATTTATCAACGAGGAATTTTAGATAAAAGAGGTGTAAATCATGTCATTACGGAAGCAGTAACTATTGGTGGTTCTCTAAGATTCTACATTTCAGCAGGAGTGGTATCGATTCTCTGCTAGTATATAAAATAAAACTTATCAAATTTTAGTGCGTCCGAACAGGTAGGATCTAAGCACAAAGAAATTGAAGTACATGTAATTAAAAGTAACAGGATCTTAGAAGAACGTTAAAACAAGAATTTTAAATAATAATTAATTAAGGAGACGTGATATAATTGCCAACAAGACAACAATCACGGCTCAAGAAAAAAAATGTTAATTATTAGGGGTCATCACTCTGCCTTCCACAAAGCGAGCCAAACCCGTACAGCAAGCTTTCAAATGTTCCGAAATGACAGATGTAACACAACCCAAGAAGAGAAACAAACAGCATGATCAGTTATTTAGTAATGAACTGTAGCCATCAGAAGCTGAACGATTAAAGTAAACATCTTAGTGAAAAAGATACAATTATTTGTAATCACATGCCTACAATGCTACACTGTAAAATTATTTTTAATCACATGCTTACAATGCTACACTATAAAATTATTTTTAATCACATGCTTACAATGCTACACTATAAAATTATTTCTAATCACATGCTTACAATGCTAAACTATAAAATTATTTTTAATCACATGCTTACAATGCTATACTATAAAATTATCTTTAATCACATGCTTACAAAGCTACACTATAAAATTATTTCTAATCACATGCTTACAATGCTACACTATAAAATTATTTTTAATCACATGCTTACAATGCTACACTATAAAATTATTTTTAATCACATGCTTACAATGCTACATTTGTTCACTATGAAATGATTTTTAATCACATGCTTACAATGCTACACTGGTGCTACGCCATTGAGTTGCATAATTTATCTACACCATATTGATACACATTAAGAGGGCATAACTTAAATAATAACTGCTTTATTATTTGCTTCATTCATGATAATTGATGTGTTATTGGTTACTTCTCTTTCATTGTTATGGATTTAAAAACTAAATATATCTACGACATTGTCGGCAAAACACATCAGAGAAGTTACATGTTTATCAAATCGTTAACCATAGATCAAAACTTAAGCTACGTCCTTATTTTGTCATTGAGTTTTAGTTAATGCGATTGACTTTGTTAGCTTCTTTCCAAAACGTTTCCTGCATATACTTTTTTGGCGGATTAAATTCCCACGTTCGTGTCACTTGCAAATAAACTGTCATAAATAAAATAGAATCTCAGTGCAATTCAAAGTAAAGATTATTCAAATTTTCACAATTGTCAGTATAAAACATCATAAATATCAAATTAAACGGAATATGCTGTCTTGTCTGAATTCTTTTTTCTTGGCAATTGCTTTTAGGAAAAAGGATACGTGTAATAAAATTCATAAAAACAAAAAAATGCTCGTACTTAATACTTCAACCTCTATGGCTCTTCAATCGAAACTTTTTATATGCTCAAATAGTTTTCGTACACATATAGTTTTGTATTTTTGTTTCCCGCCGCTCGGTTAATTGCTTCTTGAGTAGACTTTCGATATCATATGACCTGATAACTGGTTTAAGATGATACTTGCACGTGAGTGATATTTTCTATGCCGACGCTCTGGTCTCCTTATTGTTTTGGGTCAGATGCGCGTTCCGTCTATTCTTTATGTTCGCTCGAATCAAACTGTTTGAAGTTAAAGTTCAAATCAAATACGAATATGAAAAGATTTAAATTAAGGTCAGGGATGGTCATGATTACTGACAAATGTAATCTTTCAATAATCGATTACTTGAAGGAATTGTGTAATCGATTGCAATCGATTACTTTATCTAAAGAATTTCATTACTTCTCGATTACTGTTAATTACATGCTACAAAATTACAACAAAATAATAAAGTAAGTTAAAAACAATTATGTTGCTCAATGTATGCATAGTGGAAATTTACAAATTTACAAAAACAGCAATGAAAGCAGTGTTTCCAAATTTTATGCTGACAGTTGTTTTCTATATGAGAGCTCTTACTGAGGATCTAAAATATTCAACAATTCTTGAAATTTTGGTTTTCAACATGAGTCATAGGTGATAAAGTTCTTGCAATGACATCTCATTGCATTAATCATACTTTGTATTTTAGGTTATTTTCCTCTCAAGTTAGGTTCTTTCTTTTCTACTCATTATCCACAGGTATATTTGAATATAGTTTATGACAATGTTGGCAGTTTCTTCTGAAAAAAAAATATATAAAAAGTAGAATACTTTATTAGTTCAGTTAATTTTAGGGATTGAAATTTATTATTTAAAATTACATGCATGAGTTAATCTTTTTGTTTTGATAACCTCCCTAATTACAGGTTACAAAAAGGCCAATGGAGTATAATTGGGTTACACTAATGTCCTGACCAATGTCCTGACGAATGTCCTGACCGATATGAAAAATGCTAATAACTTTTTTGTTCTTCGAAGAATCGACTTCAAATTTGATATCAAGGAAGACTATAACATGAGATATAGTAATATAAGAAAAAAAATTGAAAAAAATAATTAAAAGAGTTAGAAAACTTGACCTGACCAACGTCGACACTGCCCTGACTAATGTCCTGACCGATAAGAAAATGCTAATAACTTACTTTTTAATGAAAGAATTGACTTCAAATTCACTACCAAGGAAGATTATAATATTCAATATAAGAATTTAAGAAAAAAAATGAAAAAACATATTTTGAAATATTAGAAAACTTGACCTGACCAACTTAGACTTTGCCGTGACGAATGTCCTGACCGATATAAAAATGTTATTTAAGTTTTTTATT